TGCTGGGATACAACTCGCCCGGCTCCCAGGGGCACCATGTTTCCAAGGGGAGAACTCCAGGCAGCCTGTGTTTGCACTCGGGGCTGTTTCTAATCATCTGGGATATAGCGGGTCTATTTTTAGCTGTTGGGGTTTTTCTTGAATTCATTGCACAATGGCACAATGCTGCTTTTCCACCATTTTTTTACCGCTCCGTGGCCACTGACCCCACTCTGCTGCTTATTCAGCCAAAAATTAACCTCTCCCAAAACACCGCAGTGTCTGACTCCTTGGTTCTTCAATGTGTCGTGCCATCTGTGCCTTTTGTCAGTGCTTGCACCTAATAGTACCATGTTTGGGGAAGAAGATGGAGTAGAGGACTTCACTTCCAAAGGAGTGAAGCTCTTCTGGCTGCCATCGACTCCAGCGGAGAGAAGGTGAAGATGCTTTTAAAACCTGCATCTTTCATTAGTGTCAACTAGTGAAGCTGCCAACGGCTCGTTTTCCAGGTCAGGGAGCCTAATGCCTGCGGGAGATTTGGGAAGTTCAGAAGCAGTAGGATGGGGTGTGTACGTAAAAAGAAAAATGGAAAAAAAATATGAATTCTAATTATGGAGCAAAAAACCCTGTTTCCTGGGAACAGTGACATTTGTCCGGGGTTCACTCCTGAGTGAGGTTGGCTAATCTGGGAAATACAAAGCCAGCCTGGGCCCTGCGTGTGACCAGGAGCACGTGCCGTCTCAGCAGGGCTGGTGTGGCCAGTGGCACCGTGGGACCCGGCTCAGGGCAGGCTGCAGGCTCTCAGCCCGGGCAAGGATTTCGGCTCTGTTGTAAAACGGTACTGGGACGGGGCAGAGGGGGCTGTCCGGTGCACGTCTGCTCCCACGCTTGGGTGCTGCTGGAGCTCACAGGATGGGCTCGCTTTTCATTCCTGGGCGTTTACCTCCCCTTTTCCCTCTCCCCACGCCCTCAACTGCCGTGCTGGGAGGCTGAGTCCATGTCATGGCTCTGATTCTGATCCTGATTTCCCAAGCTGGGCTCTGGAGAGCTGCCTTGTCTCATCCGAGCAGCCCCATGTGCATGAAGTCATGTGAATCACGGCTGCAGGAGCAGACGAGGCCAGGGGCTTTTTTGGCTTTCTCCTTTCTTCTTCCCCCCCTCCAGCCCCCAGCGCTGCACCCAGATTGTTTTTCAGCTGCGGTTTTGATAACATGTTTATATAAACATCTCAGCTGGAATCTGCCTCCATCCCTGGAGACGCTGCCTGGCTCCGACCTGGGGCAGGCAATGCCCTCAAGGGTGCTCACCCCATCCTCTGCCTCTTTCAGCCCCTGCTCCATAAGGGACAGCAGCAGAGGTGGCACCTTGGATGCGGGGACAGAAAGACCTTACGGTGACAGGGGGCACCCAACTGTTTTGACTTCCCTTAAACACCAGCTTTGGGGTTTGCCTTGGTGCTCAGCGATGCTTCACGTTCATCCTTGAGCCCTGCCTGCGCAGGGCTCGCCTCTGCGCTCGCCTCCGCTCTTAATGGGCTCCTAACGTTTGGTGGTAGGAGCAAGGCAGATAATTGTTTTCCTTTTCTTATTAATAGATATAAAACGTCTGCCCGGGGGGCTCACTTTCAGCTCATTTGCTGTGCATCTGATGCCAGATGTTGGCTATTTACATTACCAAGGTGATCTCTGATGCTAAAACTGTCGCAGGCAGACAAGGCTTGCTCTTTGGGTTTGCGCTTTGAGGAATTTTTAGATGTTAATAGAGCTTTTTGCGATCGGATGGTTTTGCAGTGGAAATCTGAAGGATCGTTTCCCTTAACAGCCAGGTCAAAGGGGAAGTTCTGGATCTTTTTCAGAAAAATGTGAAAGGAGCAATGGGCAAGAGCTAATCCTTCCTTTGCTCTTTGAAATCTAACGCTACCTGGATTTAAAATCCAATGCTGCCTGTGTTTTAAATCCAATGCCACCTGGATCTGGGGAAATGGCATGATGAAAAAATGCTTAAAATTAAAATATCTTGCTCCTCGTGTCTCACCCCCCGGTCAGGTGGTACTCTGCCATCTCTGCTGTGCCTCTGACAGCCCCGTCCGTCTCCAGAGAGCAGCGTTGTGCCAGTGCAAGCTGGTAAATCAGCTGCAGGCTCCCTTCTGCTGTCCCTCCCAGCGCTGTATTCCCTCCCGCCTTCGGTCGTGCTGGCCTGGAGGATTTGCACGTCTCTGCGTTGGGGACAGGGGAAGGGCAGACTGAAGGTGACGCCGCCGGTTCGCAGGTGGCTGGGCCTGCAATGGTGGGTGCAAGGCCAAGGGGCTTCGGGTGCAACCACTTCGGTAGCCAACAGGCACCTTTCCCAGTGCAGAGACACCCACCTGCAGCTGGACCCACCAAGGAAGCCTATGAGGAAATTAACCCCTTAGCTGCGTGATGCCGGTGCAGATGTCCCCAGCTGAGGAGGAAGATTTGGTTTGCATTGAGCTGAAAGAGCAGAGGGGAAAAAGCAATGAGCCCAAATCCAGGTGGGTATGTAGGTCAAGGAATTGCAAGGGAATAGGGCCGGGGCTGCTGAGCGACGGCACCGTCTGTATCTGTTTCCGAAGGCTGGGCTGTCGGCAGCGCTGTCGGCAGCAGGGCTGTGTGCTGATTCACTCCGGCAGCAGCAGGAGCAGCAGGAGCAGCAGGAGAGGGCTGGAGCGCAGCGTGGCTCCCCGGGGCTCTGCTGGGACCCGGAGCTGGGCAAGGGCGGTGGGACCCCCGGGGCCGGGCAGGCTACTGGGGCTGCTTCAGAACTAAGTTGCTTCATGGAAGGAACAGAAAGTGCAGGAGGAAGTGACAGAAAAAGCACCAGACGGAGTGATCTTTGGTTTTTGTGGGTTTTTTTTTTTTCTTTTAACGGCAAATTAACCCGTTTTTAATGCTGTGGTGCCTTCAGATCTTGAAATGTGAGCAGACGAGGCTTTCTGCTCTCTGTGCACCGTTTGATGAAAATCAAACCTAGCAGTGCTGAAGGCCCGTTTTATTCCTCTTCTGAATGAAAGGTTTATTAAAACAGCTCTTTGGCTTTTTCTCCATGCCCTGAACACCTCCATGCACACGTGCCTGCATCCCTCAAGTTGCCCTGACACCCCCTTTGACCAGAAAAATATCTCGTAAGTGCAAAATACTGACGGGCAGTGGTGAACACACGTCACTAAAGTTTGAGCTACTGATCTACAAGCATATTTGGTGGGGAATGGTCTGTAGTGGGTGTATTGAACATCATGGAGGAGACACTGGGGACCTTTCAGAGTGCCCAGAGTGGTTCTTGAATCCTGGCTGGGCTCCTCAGCAATGCAATAACCTGCTGACTTC